CTCTCTCTCTCTCTCTCTCTCTCTCTCTCTCTCTCTCTCTCTCTCTCTCTCTCTCTCTCTCTCTCTCTCTCTCTCTCCCTGTCGATGAAATGATTGTCGGCGAAATGAACCGGACCCAAACTGTAACCATGTGTAATTTATAATATGTAGTCAAACATGGGTTGGTGATAATATGATAATCTCGGGATCAAATTTAATTGTAGGAGAGTAGTACTATAGCATGCGGTTGTAAGTTTATGTATAAGAGCAATATCCCCTGGCTAATTAAGGATATACAGTGATGCGAGGGAATTAACAATTTGCGTCAATCGTTCGTAGAAATTAAAAGAACACAACTTTATTACTGCCAACATTAATATAACTGCCATAGAGAACATAATTTGTGCGATTATTATCATAGAAGCATATTAAAATTCTTATGTAAAATAACGTATAATATTAGATTTTCTTAAGGCGAAGAAGCAACCGCGCTATCTCAATATCCGTCAATTTCTCTTCTTGATCGTTACACTTGAGAGAATATCGACTTAGTTGTTTATTCGCACGAGTCTCAAGTGTTGAACTTACTTGGCTCGCAAAACTGGTTAGGTTTCTGTAGTCTACCAAATGAAAAGAGTGGAATAATTAGTATAGAAATTTGCGTAATTTTATTATTTCCCGTTGCTACATTTATTTTTATCTTTTAAGGTGCGTCGCCTCAACAGATTTATGAGGTCTTTATATCAAGCACCTGGCTAATTTTATGTACAAATAAATTTAGACTTTCTGTTGTCTACCAAATAAAAGGTGGGGGGAATAATTGGGATAAAGATTTACGTAATATATAACATTATTCATTTATAGACAAAATTTTAATTACCCAGTCAGCAAACATTGCGTTATTGTTACTGCTCCCTTCCTCTTTGACTTCTTCGTGAACATCGTCTACGCTCATCTTCAGCTCATCCACCAACTTTTCAACTTTGTCTAGTTTGCTTTCGACGGCTCCAAGTTCCTTTTCCCTTTGTTGGCATTTCTTACAAACCTTTTTGGGCTTAGTTATAGCTTGTCGATTGCGTTGTTTAACTGTCATAATCGGGAGATGTCCTGTATAATCAGTTTCCCTTGATTTA